CTACTCACTCACCTACACACTCACCTACTCACCTACTCACTCACCTACTCACTCACCTACTCACTCACCTACTCACCTACTCACTCACTCACCTACTCACTCACCTACTCACCTACTCACTCACCTACTCACTCACCTACTCACTCACCTACTCACCTACTCACTCACCTACTCACTCACCTACTCACCTGACTCACTCACTCACTCACCTACTCACCTACTCACTCACCTACTCACATACTCACTCACCTACTCACCTACTCACTCACCTACTCACCTACTCACTCACCTACTCACTCACCTACTCACTCACCTACTCACCTACTCACTCACCTACTCACTCACCTACTCACCTACTCACTCACCTACTCACTCACTCACCTACTCACTCACCGACTCACTCACTCACCTACTCACTCACCTACCTACTCACCTACTCACTCACCTACCTACTCACCTACTCACTCACCTACTCACTCACCTACTCACTCACCTACTCACTCACTCACCTACTCACTCACCTACTCACCTACTCACTCACTCACCTACTCACCTACTCACCTACTCACTCACCTACTCACTCACCTACTCACTCACCTACTCACCTACTCACTCACCTACTCACTCACTCACCTACTCACTCACCTACTCACTCACCTACTCACCTACTCACTCACCTCTCACCTACTCACCTACTCACTCACCTACTCACTCACCTACTCACCTACTCACTCACTCACCTACTCACTCACTCACCTACTCACTCACCTACTCACTCACCTACTCACCTACTCACTCACCTACTCACCTCACCTACTCACCTACTCACTCACCTACTCACTCACCTACACACTCACCTACTCACCTACTCACTCACTCACTCACCTACTCACTCACCTACTCACCTACTCACTCACCTACTCACTCACCTACTCACTCACCTACGCACTCACCTACTCACTCACCTACTCATGGTACTCAACTCACCTACTCACTCACCCACTCACCTACTCACTCACTCACTCACCTACTCACTCACCGACTCACCTACTCACTCACCTAATCACCTACTCACTCACTACGCACTCACCTACTCACTCACCTACTCACCTACTCACTCCACCTACTCACTCACCTACTCACCCACCTACTCACTCACCTACTCAATCACCTACTCACCTACTCACTCACCTACTCACTCACCTACTCACTCACCTACGCACTCACCTACTCACCTACTCACTCACCTACTCACTCACCTACTCACTCACCAACTCACTCACTCACCTACTCATCACCTACTCACCTCACCTACTCACTCACCTACTCACCTACACACTCACTCACCCTACTCACTCACCTACTCACTCAGTAACTCACCTACACACTCACCTACTCACTCACTCACCTACTCACTCACCTACACAACTCACCTACTCACTCACTCACTCACCTACTCACTCACCTATTCACTCACCTACTCACCTACTCACCTACTCACTAACCTACACGCTCACGTCACTCACCTATGCACTCACCTACTCACCTACTCACTCACTCACCTACTCACTCACCTGCACACTCACTCACCTACCTCACTCACTCACATCACCTACTCACTCACGCACTCACCTACTCACTCACCTACTCACATCACCTACACACTCACCTACTCACTCACTCACCTACTCACTCACCTACTCACTCACTCACCTACTCACTCACTCACCTACTCACTCACCTACACACTCACCTACTTACTCACCTACTCACTCACTCACCTACTCACTCACTCACCTACTCACTCACCTACTCACTCACTCACCTACTCACTCACCTACTCACTCACCTACTCACTCACTCACCTACTCACTCACCTACTCACTCACTCACACACTCACCTACTCACTCACCTACTCACCTACTCACTCACTCACTCACCTACTCACTCACTCACCTACTCACTCACCTACTCACTCACCTACTCACTCACTCACCTACTCACTCACCTACTCACTCACTCACTCACCTACTCACTCACCTACTCACTCACTCACCTACTCACTCACCTACTCACTCACCCACTCACCCTGTGTGTGTGTGTATCTGTGTTGTGTGTGTCTGTGTGTGTGTCTGTGTGTGTGTCACTGTGTGTGTGTGTCACTGTGTGTGTGTGTCACTGTGTGTGTCACTGTGTGTGTGTCACTGTGTGTGTCACTGTGTGTGTGTCACTGTGTGTGTCACTGTGTGTGTGTCACTGTGTGTGTGTGTCACTGTGTGTGTGTGTGTCACTGTGTGTGTGTCACTGTGTGTGTGTGTCACTGTGTGTGTGTGTGTGTCACTGTGTGTGTGTCACTGTGTCTGTGTGTGTCACTGTGTGTGTCACTGTGTGTGTGTCACTGTGTGTGTCACTGTGTCTGTGTGTGTCACTGTGTCTGTGTGTGTCACTGTGTGTGTCACTGTGTATGTCACTGTGTATGTGTCACTGTGTGTGTGTCACTGTGTGTGTGTGTCACTGTGTGTCACTGTGTATGTCACTGTGTCACTGTGTGTGTCACTGTGTGTGTGTCACTGTGTGTGTCACTGTGTGTGTGTGTGTCACTGTGTGTGTGTCACTGTGTGTGTCACTGTGTGTGTGTCACTGTGTCTCACTGTGTGTGTGTCACTGTGTGAATGTATGTATGTGTGTGTGTATGCATGAATGTGTATGTGTGTGTCACTGTGTGTCACTGTGTGTGTCACTGTGTGTGTCACTGTGTGTGTGTGTGTCACTGTGTGAATGTATGTGTGTGTGTGTATGCATGAATGTGTATGTGTGTGTCACTGTGTGTGTCTGTGTGTGTGTCACTGTGTATGTCACTGTGTGTGTGTCACTGTGTGTGTGTGTGTCACTGTGTCTGTGTGTGTGTGTCACTGTGTGTGTGTGTCACTGTGTGTGTCACTGTGTGTGTGTCACTGTGTGTCACTGTGTGTGTCACTGTGTGTGTGTGTGTCACTGTGCCACTGTGTGTCACTGTGTGTGTGTGTCACTGTGTGTGTGTGTCACTGTGTCACTGTGTCACTGTGTGTGTCACTGTGTCACTGTCACTGTGTGTGTCACTGTGTGTGTCACTGTTTGTGTCACTGTTTGTGTCACTGTGTGTCACTGTGTGTGTGTGTGTCACTGTGTGTGTCACTGTGTGTGTGTCACTGTGTGTGTGTGTGTCACTGTGTGAATGTATGTATGTCTGTGTGTGTCACTGTGTGTGTCACTGTGTGTGTGTGTGTCACTGTGTGTGTCACTGTGTGTGTGTCACTGTGTGTGTGTGTGTCACTGTGTGAATGTATGTATGTCTGTGTGTGTCACTGTGTGTGTCACTGTGTGTGTGTGTGTCACTGTGTGTGTCACTGTGTGTGTGTGTCACTGTGTGTGTGTGTGTCACTGTGTGTGTCACTGTGTGTGTGTCACTGTGTGTGTCACTGTGTATGTATGTGTGTGTGTGTCACTGTGTGTGTGTCACTGTGTGTATGTATGTGTGTGTGTGTCACTGTGTGTGTGTCACTGTGTGTGTGTCACTGTGTGTGTCACTGTGTGTGTGTCACTGTGTGTGTGTCACTGTGTGTGTGTCACTGTGTGTGTCACTGTGTGTGTGTGTGTCACTGTGTGTGTCACTGTGTGTGTGTCACTGTGTGTGTGTGACTGTGTGTGTCACTGTGTGTGTGACTGTGTGTATGTGTGTGTGACTGTGTGTGTGTGTCACTGTGTGTGTCACTGTGTCACTGTGTGTGTCACTGTGTGTGTCACTGTGTCACTGTGTGTGTCACTGTGTGTGTGTGTCACTGTGTGTGTGTGTGTCACTGTGTGACTGTGTGTGTCACTGTGTGAATGTATGTATGTGTGTGTGTGTCACTGTGTGTGTCACTGTGTGTGTGTGTCACTGTGTCTCACTGTGTGTGTGTGTCTCACTGTGTGAATGTATGTATGTGTGTGTGTGTCACTGTGTGTGTGTGTCACTGTGTGTGTGTCACTGTGTGTGTGTGTGTGTCACTGTGTGTGTGTGTCACTGTGTGTGTGTGTCACTGTGTGTGTCACTGTGTGTATGTGTCACTGTGTGTGTCACTGTGTGTGTGTGTCACTGTGTGTGTGTCACTGTGTGTGTCACTGTGTGTGTGTGTCACTGTGTCACTGTGTGTGTGTCACTGTGTGTGTCACTGTGTGTGTCACTGTGTGTGTGTGTGTCACTGTGTGTGTCACTGTGTGTGTGTGTCACTGTGTGTGTCACTGTGTGTGTCACTGTGTGTGTGTGTGTGTCACTGTGTGTGTGTCACTGTGTGTGTCACTGTGTGTGTGTCACTGTGTGTGTCACTGTGTGTGTGTGTCACTGTGTCACTGTGTGTGTGTCACTGTGTGTGTCACTGTGTGTGTCACTGTGTGTGTCACTGTGTGTTGTGTGTCACTGTGTGTGTCACTGTGTGTGTGTGTGTCACTGTGTGTGTCACTGTGTGTGTCACTGTGTGTGTGTGTGTGTGTCACTGTGTGTGTGTCACTGTGTGTGTCACTGTGTCACTGTGTGTGACTGTGTGTGTCACTGTGTGTGTGTTACTGTGTGTGTCACTGTGTGTGTCACTGTGTGTGTGTGTCACTGTGTGTGTCACTGTGTGTGTCACTGTGTGTGTCACTGTGTGTGTCACTGTGTGTATGTGTGTGTGTAGGTGTGTCACTGTGTGTGTGTCACTGTGTGTGTGTGTCACTGTGTATGTGTGTGTCACTTTGTATGTGTGTGTGTGTGTCACTGTGTGTCTCACTGTGTGAATGTATGTATGTGTGTGTGTGTCACTGTGTGTGTGTCACTGTGTGTGTGTGTGTCACTGTGTGTGTGTCACTGTGTGTGTATGTCACTGTGTGTATGTCACTGTGTGTGTGTCACTGTGTGTGTGTGTCACTGTGTGTGTGTGTCTCACTGTGTGAATGTATGTATGTGTGTGTATGTATGAATGTGTATGTGTGTGTGTGTGTCTAGGTGAGTTGTTTGTGGGTTCCCCTCTTGGCCGTGCCGCTGTTGCCAGCAGCTTGAGCCCTCCGGACGCCATCGCTGTGTTCCAGGACTTGGAGCGAGGACTTGATGTGGCACACTCGACACAGATCTACACCTCCTGTACCTGGTGCTCACCCACACACTCACCCACACACTCACCTACTCACTCACCCACACACTCACCCACTCACTCACCCACACACTCACCCACACACCCAGTCACTCACCTAGTCACTCACATAGTCACTCACCTAGTCACTCACACACTCACCCACACACTCACCACACACTCACCTAGTCACTCACATAGTCACTCACCTACTCACTCACCCACACCCTCACCCACTCACCTACTCACTCACCCACACTCACTCACTCACCTCCTGTACCTGGTGCTCACCCACACACATAGTCACTCACCTAGTCACTCACATAGTCACTCACACTCACCCACACACTCACCCACTCACTCACCTAGTCACTCACATAGTCACTCACCTACTCACTCACCCACACCCTCACCCACTCACCTACTCACTCACCCACTCACTCACTCACTCACCTCCTGTACCTGGTGCTCACCCACACACATAGTCACCCACCTAGTCACTCACATAGTCACTCACCTAGTCACCTAGTCACTCACCTAGTCACTCACACACTCACCCACACAGCCAGTCACTCACTCACCCACACTCACCCACACACTCACCCACACACTCACCCACACACTCACCCACTCACCTCCTGTACCTGGTGCTCACCCACACACATAGTCACCCACCTAGTCACTCACCTAGTCACTCACCTAGTCACTCACCTAGTCACTCACCTAGTCACTCACCTAGTCACTCACCTAGTCACTCACCTACTCGCTCACCTACTCGCTCACCTACTCACTCACCTAGTCACTCACCTAGTCACTCACCTAGTCACTCACCTAGTCACTCACCTAGTCACTCACCTAGTCACTCACCTAGTCACTCACCTAGTCACTCACCTACTCGCTCACCTAGTCACTCACCTAGTCACTCACCTAGTCACTCACCTAGTCACTCACCTACTCGCTCACCTACTCGCTCACCTACTCACTCACCTAGTCACTCACCTAGTCACTCACCTCCTGTACCTGGTGCTCACCCACACGCTCACCCACACACTCACCTACTCACTCACCTACTCACTCACCTAGTCACTCACACACTCACCCACACACTCACCTAGTCACTCACACACTCACCCACACGCTCACCCACCCACCCACCCACTCACCCACCCACCCACCCACTCACCCACCCACTCACCCACTCACTCAACCACCCACTCACCCACCCACTCACCTACTCACTCACCCACTCACCCACCCACTCACCCACCCACCCACTCACTCACCACCCACCCACTCACCCACCCACCCACTCACTCACCCACCCCCCACTCACTCACCCACCCACTCACTCACCCACCCACCCACTCACCCCACCCACTCACTCACCCACTCACCCAACCACCCCCCCCCCACACCACCACCCCACTCACCCACCCTCCCACTCACTCACCCACTCACCCACTCACTCACCCACCCACCCACCTACCCACCACTCACTCACTCACCCACCCACTCACCCACCCATTCACCCGCCCACCCACTCACCCATCTACCCACCCACTCACCCACCCACTCACCCACTCACTCACCCACCCACCTACCCACCCACCCACCTACCCACCTACCCACCCACTCACTCACCTACCCATTCACCCACTCACCCACCCACCCACTCACCCACACCACCCACCTCACTCACTCACCCATTCACCCCTCCACCTGCTCACCCATCTACCCACCCACCCACCCACCTACCCACCCACCCACCCACCTACCCACCTACCCACCCACCCACCCACCTACCCACCTACCCACCCACCCACTCACCCACTCACCCACTCACTCACCTAACCATTCACCCACTCACCCACTCCCCCACTCACTCACCCACCCACTCACCCACCCACCCACCCACTCACTCCCCCACTCACTCACCCACTCACCTACCCACTCACTCACTCACTCACCCACCCACCACTCACTCACCCACTCACCCACCCACTCACCCACCCACTCACCCACCCACCCACTCACTCACTCCCCCACTCACTCACCCACTCACCCACCCACCCACTCACCCCCTACCCACTCACCCACCCACCCACCCTCACTCACCCACTCACCCACCCACTCACCCACCCACTCACCCACCCACCACTCACTCACTCACCCACCCACTAACCCACTCACCCACCCACCCACTCACTCACCCACCCACCCACTCACCCACCCACCCACCTGCCCACCCACTCACCTACCCACCTCCCCACTCACCCACCCACCCACTCACCTACCCCCCCACTCACCCACTCACTCACCCACCCACTCAGCCACTCACTCACTCACCCACTCACTCACTCACCCACCTACCCACTCATCCACCCACTCACCCACCCACCCACTCACCCACCCACTCACCCACCCACTCACTCACTCACCCACTCACTCACTCACCCACTCACCCACTCACTCACCACCCACCCACTCACTCACCCACTCACCAATTCACCCCCCCACCCACTCACCCATCTACCCACCCACCTGCCCACCCATTCACCCACCTCCCCACTCACTCACCCACTCACTCACCCACCCACTCACCCACTCACCCACCCACTCACTCACCCACTCACTCACTCCCCACTCACCCATCTACCCCCCCACTCACTCACCTACCCACCCACCTCCCCACTCACCCACCCCCCCCCCACCCACTCCCCCACCCACCCACCCACTCCCCACCCACTCACCCACTCACCCATCTACCCACTCACTCACTCACCCACTCACCCACCCACCTCCCAACCACTCACCCACTCACCCATCTACCCCCCACTCACTCACCTACCCACCCACCTCCCCACCCACCCACCTCCCCACTCACCCACTCACCCACTCACCCACCACTCACTCACCCACCCACTCACCCACCCACCCACTCACCCACCCACCCACCCACTCACCCACCCACTCACTCACCCACTCACTCACCCATGTACTCACCTACCCACTCACCCACTCACCCACTCACTCACTCACCCACTCACTCACTCACCCATGTACTCACCCACCCACTCACCCACTCACCCACTCACTCACTCACCTACCCACTCACTCACCCACCTACCCACCCACCCACTCACCCATCTACCCGCCCACTCACTCACTCACCCACCCACCTCCCCACCCACCCACCTCCCCACCCACCCACCTCCCCACCCACCTCCCCACCCACTCACACCCACCCACCTCCCCACCCACCCTCCCCACTCACCTCCCCACCCACGCACCTACCCACCAGGTGACTCCTCTGAACAGCGACGTAGTCACCCTGGACTGGCGCTGCTATCTGTCGCTGTGGGCCTCCCTGCCGGCGGCCCGCCGCAGGGTCGGGGCCTTGGTGGGCGTGTCCGAGGCCTTCCTATGGCGGGCCGCCAGCAGCAACGCCGACCCTAGGCCGCCGCGCGGGGCCCGAGGAGGAGCTAAGGGGGGAGGAGCCACGGGGGGAGGAGCCAAGGGGGGAGGAGCCGCGGCCGCGGGGGGAGGAGCCGAGGACGACGTGGAACGGATGCTGAGCATTCACAAGAGGTGTGTGTCACTGTGTGTGTGTGTCACTGTGTGTGTGTGTCACTGTGTGTGTGTCACTGTGTGTGTCACTGTGTGTGTGTGTGTGTGTCACTGTGTGTGTGTGACACTGTGTGTGTCACTGTGTGTGTGTGTGTCACTGTGTGTGTCACTGTGTGTGTGTGTCACTGTGTGTGTGTGTGTCACTGTGTGTGTGTGTGTCTGTGTGTGTGTCACTGTGTGTGTGTGTGTGTCACTGTGTGTGTGTGTCACTGTGTGTGTGTCACTGTGTGTGTCACTGTGTGTGTGTCACTGTGTGTGTCACTGTGTGTGTCACTGTGTGTGTGTGTCACTGTGTGTGTGTGTCACTGTGTGTGTGTTTGTGTCACTGTGTGTGTCACTGTGTGTGTGTGTGTCACTGTGTGTGTGTGTCACTGTGTGTGTCACTGTGTGTGTGTCACTGTGTGTGTGTGTCACTGTGTGTGTGTGTCACTGTGTGTGTCACTGTGTGTGTGTGTCACTGTGTGTGTGTGATGCCCTGGTGGTCTCCCTTTTTAAGAAGGTGGACCGCACAGACTGTAACAACTACAGGGGCATCTCACTCCTCAGTGTGCCGGGAAAGGTCCTGGCAAGGATTATTCAACATCGCCTTGCCAGGCACGCTGAGGAGAGGCTTGCGGAGCCCCAATGCGGTTTCAGGAAAGGGCGGTCCTGCACAGATGCCATATTTTCTGTCCGTCTGCTACAGCAGAGGTGTAGGGAATTCCAGCAAGACCTACATCTCTGCTTTATTGACCTGGTCAAGGCCTATGATACCATCAGTAGGCCTGGGCTCTAGGTTGTTATTCGTGCTTTTGGAGTCCCTGACCCTCTGCTCACGATCATTAAGGACCTTCATGATGGTGAGCGGGCCCGGGTAAAACTACGTGGCCGGGAGTCAGAGCCATTCCCTGTACACCTTGGGGTACGACTGGGATGTCCTCTGGCTCCCACATTATTTAACCATTATTTAACATCTATTTTGACCACGTAGTACGTGAAGCCTTCAATAGCTGTACCGGGGGAATCTCCATATGGTACAGATATAATGGGAGGCTGATCGATGCCTGGGTGCGGTCAAGGGATGGCTCCCTATTGCTCAACCACGTTATGTATGCCGACGATTTGGTAATATCTGCTCATTCAGAGGAGGAGTTGGAGACACTGCTGCTGAGACTGGAGCGTGCTACTAAGAGATGGGGCCTTACCATCAGCCCCACCAAAACTAACCACCTGCCAGGGTATTTTGTACCATCGGACACTCCACCCCCACAACTCCCAATCGGTGATGGGGCAGTTGTGGAGAGAGTGGAGAGTTTCCCATACCTGGGCAGTGTGCTTATGACCGGCTCCAGTTTAACAGCAGAGGTCTCACTCCGAATCAGTCGAGCGGCAATATCTTTTCATCGGTTGTGTAACGCTGTGTGGAAGCTACCTGGTCTGTCGCTCCGCACTAAGCTTCAGGTCTTCTCGGCCACGGTCATTCCCTCCCTTCTCTACGCTTGCGAAACGTGGACCCCCCTAATGGAACGTCTTCGCCGGTTAGAAACATTTAGGCTGGCCTGCCTACGATCCATCCTGGGTTTAACCAGGCTGGATTGTGTGAGCGCACAAATCCTTGAAAAATCTGTGCAAGGTCCCATCAGTGAGCTCCTCCGGCAGGCAAGGCTGCGATGGCTGGGTCATGTAGCCCGCATGCCCAGCCACCGCATGCCGAAACAGCTTTTGTTCGGCCGGATCGAGGGGGCTAAGCGGGCGCGGCACGGGCTAGAGAAGAGATGGAGTGATGTAGTAGACGTGGAGCTGAGTGGACTTGCCGATGACTGGTACCAGCGGTGTCAAGATCGGCCTCTGTGGAGGAGGCTCGTGAAGGATGCTACTGGGCAGTTGGAGGCAGTCGCCCTCCAACAACAATGGAGGGCGGAGGAGCGACGCTCACAACAACGAGCGGAGCGCCGGGTGGCTAAAGCACAGCAGGTTGGCACAGTAGGGGGCACAGGTGGTGCACCAGTCACTCATCTCAGTCATCTCAGTCAGTCGACCCGTGGCACCTGGGTCTGCCCCGTGACCTCCTGCCAGCGGGCGTTCGACACTTCACGTGGCCTCAGGGTGCACATAGCCTGGCACAAGCGTCGTGGTGACGTCACCGCCACTTAGTGGCGAATGGCGGTTGTTGTTGTGTGTGAATGTGTGTATCTGTGTGTGTATGTATATGTGTATATCTGTATATGTGTATATATGTGTGTATGTATGTGTGTATATATGTATGTGTATGTATGTGTGTATATCTGTGTGTGTATATATGTATGTGTGTATATCTGTGTGTGTATATAGATGTGTATGTATGTGTGTATATCTGTGTGTATATGTGTGTATATGTGTGTATATATATGTGTGTGTATCTGTGTGTGTGTATATATATATCTGTATGTGTATCTGCGTGTGTGTATATCTGTGTGTGTGTCTGTGTATATGTATGTGTGTGTATATATATGTGTGTGTGTGTATGTGTGTGTATATGTGTGTGTGTATATCTGTGTATATGTGTGTGTGTATATATGTGTGTATAGTGTGTGTATATATGTATGTGTGTGTATATATGTATGTGTGTATGTGTATATGTGTGTATATCTGTGTGTATATATATGTGTGTGTGTATGTGTGTATATCTGTGTGTATATGTGTAAGTATGTGTGTGTATATCTGTGTGTGTATATAGGTGTGTATGTATGTGTGTATATCTGTGTGTATATGTGTATATATCTGTGTGTATATAGGTGTGTATGTATGTGTGTATATCTGTGTGTGTGTGTATATATATGTGTGTGTGTATGTGTATATCTGTGTGTGTGTGTGTATGTGTGTATATATATGTATGTGTGTGTATGTGTGTGTGTATATATGTATGTGTGTATATATATGTGTGTGTGTGTATGTGTGTGTGTATGTGTGTATATGTATGTGTGTGTGTATGTGTGTATATATGTATGTGTGTGTATGTGTATATATATGTATGTGTGTGTATATATGTGTGTGTGTGTATATATATGTGTATATATGTGTGTGTATCTGTGTGTGTGTGTGTGTGTGTATGTATGTGTGTGTATGTGTGTATGTGTGTATGTGTGTGTATGTGTGTGTATGTGTGTATGTGTGTCTGTATGTGTGTATGTGTGTGTGTATGTGTGTCTGTGTGTCTGTATGTGTGTGTGTCTGTATGTGTATCTGTGTGTGTGTATATCTGTGTGTGTGTATATATGTATGTGTGTGTGTATGTGTATATCTGTGTGTGTGTATATATCTGTGTGTATATATATGTGTGTGTGTATGTGTATATCTGTGTGTGTGTGTATGTGTGTGTGTATATATGTATGTGTGTGTATCTATGTGTGTGTGTGTATGTATGTGTATGTGTGTATGTGTGTGTGTGTATATATATCTGTATGTGTATCTGTGTGTGTGTATATCTGTGTGTGTGTTTATATATGTATGTGTGTGTATATATATGTGTGTATGTGTGTGTGTATATATGTGTATATATATGTGTGTGTATCT